TTTGTGTGAAACCCCCAGTGTTTCCACCAGTCCCTCTACTTTCCTATCAAAAACTGACCACACTAAGCAGGAGAGCAAAGTATAATCAGTTCTCTAGCTGTTCTGGAGCTCAGCCTGCTCTCCTCCAATGATCAGACTTGTCTTGACTTCGCCCATACAGCCATTAACTAGGAAGTTCAGTTGTCTGCTGTTTCTCCTCCCCTAGCTCTCTGTTCTCAGCTATATAGGGAGCTTAGAGGGTATGTGACCTCTTATATAACAGGGAAAAAATAGGTATTTATAATAATAATTTTTTATATCTATACACAAATGTTTTGCCTTTCCTTTCTATTTTAAACTGAATGGGTTGTTTATGTACACCTAAAACCCTCAAGCATGTTGCATGCAAGTGTATGTGCAGGGCTATGGGGTTACTTTGACTTTTTAAACATTTTTATTATAGTCTATTTTTCAGCACATTTTTTTTTAACTTTAACTTTACTGCTATCCCAAGATGGCTAAAAAGCATGAACAGGTGGCAGATCCTCTTTATGGAGATATTGGAGGTCCATTAGACCCCCAAAGCCACCGCTTCACTTCATTGGAGCTAATCAAGCACAGCTCATGCTTCAATAGCTGCTTATCTGGCCACAGTAGCTGAGCATTGACAGGTCTAAACCCAGAGTTGATCAACTGCTTGTCGCTTCTGGGCATATTCATTACAAATAAAAATGGGGAGCAGATGTTTCCTGAGCATTTCTGCTCAACATGTTGAAGTACTGCTGGAGGAACTGGAGAGCACGGAAGCCAGGGTGAATGACTGGGTGGTGGGGGTTGTGTGGATTGGGCATCACCTTTGCACTGCAGTAAAAAGTTCTCGTATGGTGCTGCTGCATACCAAAAATAATCTACCCCCCTGCTCCAGGTATCTAGCAGAATCCACAGCAGATCAGATTTAAGTCTGATTGGGTTTATGATTTAAGAATCCCCAACTATATGAGATCACTGACCTAATAAAGAAGCATGTAGGGAAGTGTAGGTATTCCTTATGAAGCAATATACATAACTTGATGTTGTTCTTCAATGGATGAGTGGGTGGGGGGTCGCTGTCACTCTGTTTCAAAACATACTGGTAAAAAATCAATTAGTGCAAATATTAAGGATCTCATATCTAAAGTAGAGGTGGAGCAAACTTTCAACTACTCATTGTCTCTATACATGACATTGAGTATTAAATAGTAGGGACACTAAATTATGAGAAAAACCGATTAAAAATATGTATTAATGTCAAAATATTAAATATGATATAATAATTTTGCAGAATTCTTACGGCAATACGTGCTGTATTTTCCCACACCTACTGTACTGTACTGACTACATGGGAATTTTAGAGATACAGTAAACACTTCACTGTGTACACTCCTCTTAACAATCATATATCACTTCACAGCACCATCTGACAGCTGAGTGTAGTGAGATTTCTTTATGTGCTCTAGGTAATCAGAACTGTTTATGACAAAGATATACTGGTACCCTATTCCATTTACCTCTGAAACTGGAAGTTCTTATCAGGAAGCATGTTTACAGTTAATCCAAGAATAAATAATTTGGAAAAGACCTGTGATAGCAGTTGTATTGCAGATAACTCTTATCTTCCTCACCCTTTGATTTAAGAGCTGAATTGTAAAGTGGTTTACATGTGGTCATAACAAAAGGGTGACTAAATGTGCATAATATCTACACAGACTGCAATTTTTTAGCTATTTTATCAATAATTTACCAAAACAATTTACCAGAACAAATAGTGTGGCATAGTAGACCTCAAAACTATTCTGTAAATAAAAGGTATCATAATTGCAAACTTTACCCTCATCAGGGTTAAAATTCATAACCAGTTGTCTATAAGATCATTCTATGCTTTTAATTGCAACAGACAAAGAAGAATCTACTTGCTATCTTTACCTATAATTTATGCCTTTTTAAAGTGGGACTCCAAGCAAAACATATTTTCTGTCCTTGGTTATAGTGGGAAAAGATTAGACTATTTGTCAGGTTTTATTGCTTTCTGTACCTCCATAGCAGAGATATCAGCTGAGATACAGACAGCTACAGGAACCTCAAAGAGGTTCTAACTATGCACATGCCTACTGAAAACAAGTGCTTATATTGTAATTTATGTCTACATAATGGTCACTCCTTATACGTCCTGTCTTGGTGACTACACGGGATATAAGGGGTTGTCTCTAATGGGAATACAAACAGCAATAACATCTTAATAGAGATTTATCTTTTCTCAATTGAATCCAAATGCAAAAACTTCCTGGAGCTGGACTTTAAAAGGTTAGTTCACCTTTTCAGAAAAAGAGAGAAAGGTGAACAAACACCATACATCCTCCCCACCATACCCCACCTCTCTGCTCCCCAGTGTATTTACTTTTGTTATGCTAGAAACCCTCCACACAGCCAGTGCATCCAGTGCAGTGGTTCTGAGATCTTCTCCCTATTTTTTCTGCAGGGCTTCCAGAATGGATCTGAGTGTTTCAGATTGGTCAGCACCTGACCAATCACCTATCTGATCTGTTCTGGATGTGCTGCAGAAAGGAGCAGAGCAGGAATTTCAAGTCTGTTACACCAGCTGCATGGGTACTGAGAGCTCATCATTCATGCAGGTAAGTACAGTAGGGAATATGGCAAACGTGCGCACCAGAGACTGACGCAGTCCTCCATTTTGTTAAGAGTAGCCATGTTATTCCCTCATTCTCCCTCCCCCCTCACTCTGAGTGTCACGGTGACAGTGTATGTGTGTGTTAAAAAATGTCACTGGAGGGTCATAGGAGCTATAAAGGCCCCCCAGGGAGACGGGTCTTCTTACCTGTCCGAGAACCTGTGCCATTTCACACCTCGGAAGAGATAAGGCAAGCTTTCCCAGGAGTTCAAAGAACCTTCCCAGGAAACACGACCAGATAACCTGTGTTAAAATCCATTTTTCCCCTATGTCTCATATCTTGGAATATGAGAGACTTACATAAAAACCAGACATATCGTCAGATTGGCCACGAGGAGATGAACAGTTTGACAGGTTACTCTTCGTGGTTGGAATACATAGAAAAGCAGAAAAATAGATCTTGTGAACCGTTCAGTGCACACTTTCATAATTCATATTCAATTAATCCTCAGAAATGTCTGCATAATAATCTACCCGCGGGTGGAATGTCCCTTGTGCAGATGGACAGTTATGGACCAAAATATGAGTTACGGGAGATTTTGGCTCTAGTTTAGGTCAACACCCAGACCTCCACACCCTACACGGGGCATTGGTCCTTAGTGTTAGAAACACCCCCTGCTGGGGACAACAAAATAGGCTGTCAGGCCTAAGAATGTAAGTTGAAGACGTCTCCCATTTTAACATCAATACCACCTGGGAAGACCCCTGCCTTTTGCTCTGAAACTTGGATCTGCTAACCCAGGACTTTGGCAAGTACCTTAACCCTTTCACCTCTCTCTGATACCTCTTTGCTGTGCTGTTGGTCTCTGTATGTATGTTTATATATATATCTTAGTTACATCTTTTTCTGTAAATATTTTTATTGCACCGTTTGACCTTTTAGTAATAAATCTTTCCTTCTGAAAGTGTTGAACTGTTTCTATAGCACTTTATTGCATTTTACGAATTCCTGCCTCTAAAGAGACGCTACTGTTTGTTTAACCCTCTGTATAACAGGCCTGTGTTATGACCGTGTTATGCAGACGATTATTTCAATCATTATAGTGTTATAGCTGATATTGCCGAGTTTCCTCTTTCTCTTTTTAAAAAGGAGGTGGTGGCAGTGTGAAGGGTTAATTGCGTAATTAACCTGACCCAGTAACAATCGCTCAGGCTGCCGGTACATCGATCTGTGGTCCATTAGCTGGAAAATCAATGTGCAGGGTGCAGCTGGGTGTGGCATTGTTACGCACGTCACATCACGGTTTTAGATTGGCTAGTCCTTTGGTCACGAGTTTGATGAGAAGGTCTGGGGTCTGACGCCGCGATCGTGACAGGGAACAGAAGGGGTGACGTGGATTTATTGTGTCAATTCACTTTTTCATTGTATCTGAAAAGGTGAACTTATACTTTAAGCATTCGACAACAACAGAAAATTTAAATCAGTTTCAAACTACAATTTTCAGTTGGTCTGTGCAAGATGGTAAATAGTTTCTTTGCCTGTGGATACTTCTCACTTAAAAACAGTCTGTTTGTCTTTTCCCACAAAATAGTGCAACATTGCAAAGTGCAGTAACCATAGAGGCTAATCAAATTCATCTTCTAATTTCAGAAAAGTTAATTTTGATTGATTGCAAGGGATGCTGTAGTTTGCACTTAGAACATTTTTAAATTTGAACGTCCATTGGTTACCGTAATGTCAGCATCAATGTTTTTGTTTAACAAAGCCAAAATATTTACAGTGCTCAGCATAAATAAGTACACCCCAACAGATTTGTCAGAAAACCTTTACTTTTCTTTCAGAATTAACATTTTCCATGGGACACTATACTGCAAGGTGAAGGCTACAAGAAGATCAGCATAGAGTTATTTATCAGTAAGAATACTATAGAAAAAGTGATAAAAAAATTTAACAATGATGGAACTGCAACCATCTCACAAAGATGTCCAGTCTGTCCATGGAAGTTAACACCTCAACAGGAGCATCTTCTGATTAGAAGGGTTGAAAAAATCACCATGCAAGTTCACTGCAGTTAGCTAAAGAAGTAGAAAGCCAAGCTGGGGTGATTGCTTCCTGTGACACAGCATGGCGTACACTGCAGAGGAATGGCATGCATGGGTGTCGCTCACAAAGGAAGCCTCTCCTAAAGCCCATGCACAAAAAAGCCCACCTAGAATTTGCCAGGGCCCATGCTGAAAAAGAAGAAGACTACTAGGACTCTGTACTCTGGAGTGATGAGACCACATAAATGTTTTTGGAACTGATGGCTTTAAAATTGTATGGCGTCACAAAGGTGAGGAGTACAAAGAAAAATGCATGGCACCTACAGTGAAACATATTGGTGGCAGTGTCCTTCTGTGGGCTGCATGAGTGCTGCTGGTGTCGGGGAGCTGCATTTTATTGATGGTATCATGAATTCACAGATGTACTGCTCTATATTGAAAGAGAAGATGCTACCATCACTCCGTGCCCTTGGTCGTCAAACACTTTTGCAACAGACAATGATCTAAAACACACATCTAAGACCACTGTTGCATTTCTGAAGAAGTACAGTGATTCAGTGGCCAAATATGTCTCCTGATCTGAACCCTATCGAACACCTATGGGGAATTCTGAAGAGACAAGTTGAGCATCACTTTCCATGCAGCATCCAGGCTTTAACAGAGGTCGTTTTTAAAGAATGGAAAAAGATAGATGTTGCAATATGTTGCCAACTTGTTCATTCCATGCCTAGAAGACTTGTGCTGTCCTTAAAAATCATGAAGGTCATACAAAACACTAGGTGTAGTAGTTTTTGTTGTGGGGTGTATTCATTTTTGCATCAGCTAATTTGAGTAAAACTGAAGATTTTGTAATCTACGTTATATTATTAACCTAACTTTCATATAATGTGCTAAATAAATGTTCTATAAAACATTTTGGAAATCTTACTTTTCAAAAGTGCTGAGCACTGCACTTGTAACCTGGACTCTAGCTGATAACTGCTGGGGAACTTCATCCTTTTGTATGCTGTATTATCCTTCTGCAGTGCAGACAAGGTTAAACTGAATATTCATTAATGCAGAAGTGCAGCAGCGATCTTTAAGGAGACCACTTTACAATGCTCATCTATGGAGTGTCTTCAGTGCAAAAGGCAGCCATGTTGACTGGGTCTGGATCGATCTTGGAGGATTGTGATTGGCTGATGCAACAAAGCAAAGAGAGGTGTACCGTAGCACCAATCTGCTGAGAGGAAAGGAGGGCACAGTCAAAAAGGTTAGCAAAGGTGTTGCAAAAAGGAATTGAGCTTCTTACTGAATAAAAAGCTGCCATAGCTGATCACAATCTCATAGGACTTTAGAGAAGCAACAAGACTGCTCATTACACTGGACCTTGCCTCTAAGACCAGCAACCTTCTTTCAGGGAGGATGTGAGGTGTGATTTGGATGTCTGGTGTGTTCAGACTGTACTAGAGAGCATCCCCACTGATTGTAAGGAAGGTAAAGAGGAACTGTCTTAGCAGAATTGGAAGAGAGAAATCATAGAAACTTCTATCACTGTCTGAGGATTTGAACTGAATCAGAACATGTGTCTGGAGATCCAGAAGAGGGTGCCCTGGGATTGGTAAGAGGTCAACTTTGAACAAGTTCATCTGTTGTCTGCTGGGAACTTTCTTCAAGGGTCCCAGCTTTGTTTGCCAATTTTTTGTACATCAGTCACTGACTAGTGGGATTAAACCAGGACTGTTATAACAAGTTAGAACTGTGTTTATATACTTTTGCTAGGTAAATTCAATTCAGTTCTATTAACTACTGTTAGTTAGAATAGTGCAGGTGTTTACCATATCTCTCAAAGAAACATTATTGTCTTATTGATTATATAAGTACGTATGCTAATCCTTTTTCTTTTAGGTTATGCTTGGCCTGACAAATTCTTTGAAGTATCTCAAAGTGTGTAGGTAAGTGCTGGGTGACCTAGGTGTGTCATCTTCAAGAGTGTAGAGAAATCACAAAACAATTCAGTGGCTCCTACACACTCAAGAGATAAAAAACAATAATTATATCACTTTTCAAACACTGGTTTGGCCTAATCTTGACCATGCAATTCTGTTTTGGACATCAATCCTCAGGAAAGATATCACAGAACTAGAGAAAGGTCTGAGAAAGGCAATGAAATTTGCATGGGGGTGGAGGACCTAAGTTATGAGGACATATTACAGAAATTAAACTTATTCTCTCTACAAAAGAGGCAGTTGAGAGGGTATATGAGCATTATACGAATTTATCAATGGTGATTTCAATACTGGGAATAAACTGTTTAATTTCAGAAATTTGAAGATGACACATGGACACCACATGAAGTTTGAAAAGAAACAGTTTCATCTTAAGGGATTCTTTACTGTCAGAACAGTACAAAATGTGGAATTCCCTCCTACAGTTAGTGGTATCATCTGAGAGCATGGCTAACTTATAAAAAAATTCTCAGCAAAGCAATATACAGAGATATTTGACTTCATGGTGACATGCAAATGCACATTCACATGCAAAAAAAGTTTAACAGGATGGACCAATGTCTATTTTCTGCTTAACTAGTTAACAAACTAGGTAGCTATATACATTTTGTATGTATTGCTGTTCTGGGGGTAACTCCAAAATAATTTTTTAATCCTTTATTTATACAATGCACAAAAAAAGTATATAGAATAAAAGCACAATCCAACACAAAGCATAGCATAACCAGCAAGTACAATCCCAATGCAGTTATCACTAAGCATGCAGTGAGTGGGATGCACAGCTTGAATAATATTAGAAAACTATAGAAGCAAGAACATTGTGCAACATCCACATCCGAAGTGCAACATCCACATCCAAAGTGAGCTGTATTAATGTGGCTTCTCTTTTTTGACAGTGTCGATTGGGCCAGGTCCGGGCTATTCTCCAACATCTCCCAAGACCCCAACAGTGCCATAACTCAAAAGTTTGGATTTACCCTCACTTTCAGTTCTGGGGACATTGGTGATCAGGTCCATTGGAGAAAGTAAATCTCCCTAATAGGGGCAAGGAGTACAATAAAAACTTGCCAGTGGTTCTAATTCCTCACCACTCTATCCAAATAAAAATTAAAAAAAAAACAAGTTTTGCCTTTAGTTTTACTTTAACAAGGCTGGTCCGGTTATACTGTGTCAGCCACTGTATACAGAAAACGAATCTATCTCACATCACACAAATGTGAGTGGCCTCATATGATACATCTTGACTCACAAAGATATTTACAGAGTGTCTACAAGGCAAATACAGTGCTGAAGCCGTTAACCTAAAGTGTTACCAAATGTTTTAATAATGTTTTCCAACTCATTTCCTACATTTCTCCCACAGACTTGTTGAAACTCCCAAATCCCTTTTTGATGGGTAGTAAAAGAAAAAAAATCATGTGGTGAACATCTGATTTATATATTTGTTAAAATTAGCATGTAAGGAATATAAGAAATTCAAAATGGACACTTTTTATTCATTAGATCTGTACGTGGAACACTTGTTTTTAATTTTAGAAATCCTACCTGCACACCAGGGGAGAAATTCTGACACATGTCAAGAAACAGAAACTTTCACAAGTTAACCTGCACTTCAATAGAGTCTTCGTCTGTAATATTATTTGCTAAATCTCTGTTTCTGTTCATCTGCCTTCTGGGTGTTGTTAATTTGTTTCTTAAAGTGGTAGTAAAGTTAAAAATGTAAAAAACTGCTGACAGTTAGGGTTTTTATGACAGAAGAGACCCTAGTGGTTTCTTCTGTTATAAATGTTCTCCTGCCTGTTAGTGGTAATGTGATCTGAGCTGCGCATGCATGGTTCAGACCACATTTGTGGCCTGCTCACTGTGCTGCAGTGATGTGACTCCCATGCACATGCGTGGGAGTGATGTCACATGTGGCAGGGCTATTCAAATGGCTGAAGATAAAAGATTAAATACATATGGAATCTAAGTGTATTTGAGTGTCATAATCAAGCAGTTTGATTAGACATGTTCATAAACACGTGATAATTGTCACCCAGTCTACCTACTGAATTGCATGACAAATGTTATGTCTAGTAGAGTTGTCACCTCATTTTGCATTTTGTTTTTTTTACTGTGGTAAATAATTTTGGATGACCACTATCTTATCCAACAACACCATGCTGATGCTGGTTATTTCTTTTCATACACCTCCCCTATATGCTGTAACATAAACAGTTGGGTGGACTTTATAATAGATCAATTGTTAAAAAAGAATTAAAAGTAATAAAAATAAAAAATATTTATTTCACTGAGAATGATTTTCCTTTAAGATGAGCCAGTGACCAGGTTATAGACATTCAAGTATTTCCATATTCATAACACAAACTTAATTGAAAAAAAAGCCCTCACTTACCTCTGTAGCCGCAGGCACTATGGAGCAATTAATCCTAAAATGTAACATCAGAAACTGTAAAGTCAGAAGCTAGCCTGCCTCATTCCATTTTGCACTTTGGCACAGTTACACTTGTTGTAGTGCCACAGTTTTCATCTCTAGAGAATAACTGGTCTTTCCCAAAAATCTGGTGCAGGTGTACATAATGAAGGCAGAAAAACTGGTACTGCAGGCTGACTTGGTTGACTAGTTTCAGGTCTGGCTGGCTTCAATGTTAGCCAGGCTGTCTGCTCTGAGTTCTGGACAGTGTAAGTAGCATGTAGGGCAGTATCCAGGGATCAGTAATATGTAGGGCAGTGTACAGAGGTCAGTAGGCTGTAAGGCTCTGAGGAAGAGGTACAACCTTGAAACACGTGAGCCACCAGCTTTCCAGATGCTCACAGTCCCCCACCAGACCACTGAACCACTCTGCATCCCTTGCGACATGCTTCCCATTAATATAATTTGATTTTACTTTTTTTTTGTGAGTATTTTACTATTTATTAATAAATCCCATTTTTTAAGGTAATGCACTAGGCCTGTGCACCCTCTCTTTGTTTTCTATATACTGTGTACAGAGGCTAGTAGGATGTAGGGCAGTGTAGAGAGTTCAGTAGGATGTATTGCAGTGTACAGAGTTTGTAGGATGTAGGGCAGATACAGGGGTCAATAGTATGTTAAGCAGTGTACAGGGGCCATTAGTATGTGCACAAGGATCAGCAGAGTCGAGGACGGGGATCATCAGGGCAAAAGACGGGTCAGTAGGGCAGTGTACACGGGTGAGCAGGGCACAGTACAGGAGGTCATAAATGCACAGTACAAAGGGGTCAGGAGGGCACTGTACAGGGGAAGTCAGGAGGGCACAATACAGAGGGGTCAGGAGGGCACAATGCAGGGGATCATGGGTAACAGTAATTGGGGTCAGAAGGGCACAACATGGTTGGCAGGAATGCACAGTACTTGGAGTTCAAGAGTTCACAGTACAGGGGGTCAGGGGGGGCACAATACTGGTGGTCAGGAGGGTACAGTACAGGGGGTCAGGAAGGCACAGTATAGGGGGTGAGGAGAACCTTATACCGAAGGGTCAGGAAGCGTTGTCACTCTCAGAAAGGAAGTGCCTGTCAATACACATTACTGGCAGGATCATCAGATATGATTCAATTAAACTCAGGTAATACATGAAAAAGGACTACATTTTATATATTGCAGAAAATATGAAACACGTTGGAAGTGTTAGAAGTAAATATATTTTAACACATCTAAGTTTGTTTCTTCACTCCAAACATATGAGTAAAGTCTCTTCTAAGTTTGTAGAAGCAGAAAGAAATGGTTTTAATATGGTGCAATCTGCATGCTACCACATTTGCTGTTGGTAA